AAACAGTGCTCTAAAAAATCAACAGTGTTGTGAAGTCCCAAGAAATGATGATGTAAAGAACTAACAATGCTGTGAAGACATATGATCTTATGAAACATGAACAAACAGTGTTGTGAAGCCACGAGATGTAGATCCTTTTGAAACACGGACAAATAGTAATTTAAACATTGTTTGATAAACTTGGGGATTTCTTCCTGTAGATACAGTATGAAAGACTGGCAGACACATCACGTTTTCAAATAATAGGGAATAGAAATTGAATTAATATTAAAAACCTCATCAGTGCAAGCTACCTACTTATATCAAAAGTAAAAATCAACTCAGTAATGAGCATAGATAATTAAATATACTTTTCGTATGATATTACTTACAAAGATTAGAATACACTGTTTTACTAGTTGGGTCTTAACACTGTGTGATTTTGATATTATTAGTGGTAGCAGTGATGAAATGGGTTATGAAACAATTGGAAGACTTGATGATAAAGAAGAACAGACAAAGGATGGAACTCAGTTGTCGCATCCTTCTTCACCTCATACCTTATGCTCTTCCCATAGTAACCGTACTAAACGAGAAAGAACTCGATCTTGCTCAAAGTCTGGGTCTTCACACGAGCCCGTACTAAGAACCAGACAAAGAATGATTTACACTGCTGGAAGACCACCTTGGTATGACACGCAGGGCCAGCTGGTGGAGCCGTTTATCATTGGTAAGTAGATATGTTTTAGTGAGTGAACTCGTGAGAGGCTACATATATACTCCAACACTTAGTGTTTTAATAAACCATGTTGCATTAATCCTGGTTTGAAATGTTCCTTTTTAATTAACAAATGTGTACATGTAAGTTTCTTCAGTTTGTTTTTATTTTGCCATATTTTTAATTAATTTGAACTTACCTGTTTTTTTTTTTTTGGTTGGCAGGAATTTGTGGTGGTAGTGCATCAGGGAAAACAACAGTAGCCAGAAAGATCATTGAAGCTCTGGATGTCCCTTGGGTAACTCTTCTGAGCATGGATTCCTTTTACAAGGTGTGCTTTAAATAGAAAAGGTGTTACAAGGTGTGCCTTTAAGTAGAGAAGGTGTTCTGTGGTGGAGAAGATATTAAAAGGCATGTTCTAAGTATAGAAGGTGTTACAAGGTGTGCCTTTAAGTAGAGAAGGTGTTCTGTGGTGGAGAAGGTATTAAAAGGTGTGCTGTAAGTATAGAAGGTGTTATGAGGTGTGCTCTAATTTGTAACACCTTCTATACTTAGAGCACACTTCATAACACCTTCTATACTTACAGCACACCTTCTCTACTACAGCACAACTTGTAACACCTTCTATACTTACAGCACACCTCATAATACCTTCTCTACTACAGCACAACTTGTAACACCTTCTATACTTACAGCACACCTTTTAATACTTTCTCTACTACAACACAACTTGTAACACCTTCTATAGTTGTGCTGTAGTAGAGAAGGTGTGCTATAAGGAGAAAAGTTTAGTATTTCAGCAAAGTAATCTGTATCAGTAGATAGGTTGTTCGTTGAAGTAATTGTTCACGTTTAGTCAAAATGAGGAATTTAGATAGTGATATTTATGTTCTTTAAAATTATATTTTTTTGTATGTGTGATTCAAGATTATATTCACTGTGGTAACAGAAGTTAGGCTAAACCTTGGGAGTAACAATATGTTGCTTTACTTTATGAATTCTTTCCTTACTGGTTGCAGGTTTTGGATGAAGAACAACATAAACTGGCACATGAAAATGAATACAATTTTGATCATCCAGATGCATTTGACTTCACTCTCTTAATAGAAACATTGAGGAAACTCAAGGAAGGGAAACGTGTCCAAGTGCCAATTTACAACTTTGTGACCCATTCCAGAGATAAAAGAATGGTAAGCCATAAGAGACTAATAGTTAAAACAATGTTGAAAAAAAGAATTACTATTAATTATAGTAGAGTAATGAAAGACATAAAATGAGTGACTTGCATATGTGAAAATATTAAAAACTTATATCAAGTTGTTTAAAAATAACCAAAATGTATAAAAATTAATATACTTCTATTTCCATAAAGTTGATGTACAAGTTTCATGCTTGTGCCCTTCTTCAAATAAAGTTGCTAATAAATCAGTTAAGTCTGATGACAACGTCAGAATTTAAAGAAGAGTAAACGTTTATACATGTTTACTCATGAATACAGAAGTAGTATTGACTCTACAGTTCAGTATTTGGTAAATTTATCCTTAATGACGTTTGTATAATAATTAGATAGGTATACAGACATCACTGAAACATAAAAGAAAACACACAGAAAATTGTGTGTTAATGACAGTAATCCAGTGTAACATGTTGACCAACAGTCCTTATAAATCTAGTAGACAAATCATTGCAGGTTGAAACAGGACAGTCAAGAATGTGATCTTAAAAAAATTGAAACCTATGTTTAGACATTCCTGTAGAAAAGTAACAAGAAACAAGTTAATTGCAAGTGTTTCCAATACTGTTCTGTTAACTGCAAGTGTTTCCAATACTGTTCTGTTAACTGCAAGTGTTTCCAATACTGTTCTGTTAACTGCAAGTGTTTCCAATACTGTTCTGTTAACTGCAAGTGTTTCCAATACTGTTCTGTTAACTGCAAGTGTTTCCAATACTGTTCTGTTAACCGCAAGTGTTTCCAATACTGTTCTGTTAACCGCAAGTGTTTCCAATACTGTTCTGTTAACTGCAAGTGTTTCCAATACTGTTCTGTTAACCGCAAGTGTTTCCAATACTGTTCTGTTAACCGCAAGTGTTTCCAATACTGTTCTGTTAACCGCAAGTGTTTCCAATACTGTTCTGACTTTTGTTGTTCAACTACAACCATTGTTGATAATAGTGACTGCACCAGTACTGGTTACTTCAAATGTAAACAGAAAGCATCATTGTACGGCTGCAGCCATTGTTGATAATAGTGACTGCACCAGTACTGGTTACTTCAAATGTAAACAGAAAGCATCATTGTTCAGCTGCAGCCATTGTTGATAATAGTGATTGCACCAATACTGGTTAGTAACAGCTGGTTTATATAGAATTTGTTAGTAATAACGTTAATAAGTAGAAAGTCTTTAATCTTGTGTTGTATGAAGTATTTCGAACCGAAGGGATTAGGTTTCATAGTTTTGTTAACGGGTTAAATATGGCTACTGTGACAAATGGTGCTGGTTTATTAAATCAAATATATTTGTGTTCATAATTCATAGTATATAATGGAAAGGTCATCTTGCTTGAGATACAAGTCACAGTACTTGGGCACTGACTAAGAGTTGGGTGTTAAGAAAGAGGAATTTAAAATCAGGTTTTTTATATTTTCAGAAAACTATGTATGGAGCAAATGTCATCATATTTGAGGGCAGAAACAAACTACTAAACTCGTGGGTGCAAGAACATCATAGCCTTATTGCACTTTTTTATGGTTAGTGTATTTCCAAAGTTTAATATTTGTAAGTACTGCTATGTCATATCTCACTAACGACCTTCTGATGATTCCAATGAGTTTCATTCTTATTTTTCTAAGATAACTTCTACTCACATCAAGTAATCCTTTATGTGCAAAACCAAGAATTAAATTTTTATCTTATTTTTTTAAAGCCACCTAAGAATACAAAAGAAATGAAGTATTAAGAAAACCTTCTATTACAGTTTAAGTAAATAAATTTGACCTCTGAACACATAATATAAGCTTAAAAACATGATTCAGTCCACAACACCGTACATATTTAGTCTTGGTGCTGTCCTCACTGTTGTTTTTAATAGAGGAAATCAAATGATATCTTTACAAAAATTGTAGAATTTTCTGCAGTTTTAATTTTAATAAACCTTATTTAACAACATCCCTTTTCAAGATATTATTTTACAGACTTTAATACTTAGTAATATAAAGGTATTTCTTTCAATACTGAGCTTGTTTCACTATCTTTATAAATTAAAAACTGTAGTGTTAACTTCCATAGAATTATGCATTCTGCTGCTAAGACCAGCCTCTATTTACACCATAGTAAATATAAGAACCCTCTAAACTTTGAGTATTTTTACAGGGTTTTTTTTTCTTAATCAAACAAATTCTTGTTTTAAACAAAAAATCTTTTGGTACTTCTCAGTGATAAATTTTTCTCGCACCAATGGCCAAGATGATTTTATAGTGAAATCATTTCAGTGTAGATTGTATTTCATAATTTTAAATGTATTTGATGAGCTACAGATTATGGATATGAAGGTCTTCATTGACACAGACTCGGATATTCGGCTGGTCCGGAGATTGAAACGTGATATTATGGATCGTGGACGAGATCTTGAGGGGGTGCTTAAACAGTATAATAGATTTGTAAAGCCAGCTTTTGATCATTATATTGCTCCTACAATGGTTCATGCTGATTTAATTGTTCCAAGAGGTAAGTTGTGTGATTATAATAGTCTCAACCTTGTGTCTGACTATAACTGAATAATCTGTAGATTTAACTGTGCTATAAGGTGAGATTATAAATACTAAGTTAGTTTAAATTTGCAAGAAAGCGAGTTGTATTATAGTTGATATTGTGGATTTGTTGATTGGTCTTCGTTGGTAAAGTTACTTATGTTTGAATGTTGTATCTTTGAGCTGTTCTTCTTAAGCAAGCCATAAGAACTTAGTTTATATTTCTAGCAGTCAGTTGTCAGATAAAGACCAGTCTAGGGAAAGAGGTTAAAGAGACTAAAGAAATTGAACTTTTAAATAGTGATCAGTGACATTAGAGAAACAACCAGATATCTGTATGGTTACATCTATTTTGTCTATATTGAACACAGGAGGAGAGAATCAGATAGCTATCAACTTGATTGTTCAACATGTACATACTCAGCTCCAGCTGGTGAGTCAAGATTTGGATGTTATTGTTTCTGTATAAGTTACATATAGGATTCTGATTGAAAGTTAAAACAGAAATATGGTTTTGGTCGAGATTTAAAACGGATACAGCTTACTATAGAATTGTAGTTAGGACTGAAAACAGATACGGTTTAGTTAGTATAGAGGTTTCTGTACTTTGTAAAGTTTGTATTCATGTTATTATTTGCTAACATTTATTGTGAATAAAATGTTGCTTAAGTAAAACGTTTTCTTTCTACTCATAAGTTTTCTGAATATATGTTTATGAAAAACACATACAAAATTGTTTATATGTCTACACCATAAACTTTTAGAGTTTAAGAACTTTGGTAGATGGTAATCAGTGAAGAAGAGATAGCACAATATCCAAACTTAGAATAATACATTCATGATAGTATGTCCTAATAAAGATATCTGACTCAGAGCAAAGATTTCATTATGCAAATTTTGATGAGAGCTAGTAGAAATGTTCATTGTTAGTAAATATTAAAGAATAACTGTGTCTTCCTTTTTCCCTCTCCTGATGACTGGTTCCAGAGAGGACTGAAACTGAGGTAGGTGTTATTTCTGGACTTTAAAAAAAAAAGTTATGTGATAATAAATGTTTCTCTTTACAAAACAGATTTAAGAAGTGAAAAGTATTAATATATGCAGATAAAAGAAAACAGTAAAACTGAGTTTTGTTAGCAGCTGTCTAGTTAGAAATGAAAACTAAAGTAGCTCATTCAGCCAATAAATCTGTGATTATTGTTAGCACTTGCCTGCTTAGAAAGCTGGAAATCCTTCCCAAAATTGTTTATTTTGATATACTGTTAGTCTCGTGTTATAATTACCTTGTTTTGATGGACTGATGTTGTTAATTTTGCTTGTTTTCATTTAGGTCTAAACTTGTCCAGTCACATGCTGGGCAACCTTTACCAAGCACCCTCAACATAATGCCCTCTACACCTCAAATCTTAGGGATGCATACATTCATTAGAAACAAAGAAACGTCTCGAGATGAATTTATTTTTTATTCTAAACGTCTAATGAGGTTGCTGATAGAGTACGCCCTGTCCATTCTTCCGTACCAGGTAATAATTGTGTGTAAAAATTGTTTTTTTAAAAACATATACACATAACTGTTTTGTAAAGTTCTGTAAAAAAATCTTGTACAGTACAATGCTGTGTATTTATTATTGGTAAAGGAAAGGAGCTTGAATGTTAAACCAATTTACTGAGAAGTGTTCTGTCAGCTGACATTTGTAGCCAGGGTTGAGATAACAAACCATACTTACATATAGTTCTCTGGAGTTTTTTTGTTTTCAGGACGTGGTCGTAGAAACTCCCCAAGGTTTAACTTACCAAGGTAAAAGAAGCACTACGGTCAAGGTGAGATTCTGTATCAAAGTAAAAATGTGCTAATCATAATGTTGACTGTGCTGCTAATAATGAATATGCTAATCATAATGTTGACTGTGCTGCTAATAATGAATATGCTAATCATAATGTTGACCGTGCTGCTAATAACGAAGAAATGTGCTAATCATAATGTTGACCGTGCTGCTAATAACGAAGAAATGTGCTAATCATAATGTTGAGTGTGCTGCTAATAACGAAGAAATGTGCTTATCATAATGTTGATCGTGCTGCTAATAACAAAGTAACATACTAATGATAATGTTTGGCTGCTTCTAATAACAAAGAAAACTGAACATCATTTTCTAAATCTAAAAAAGTTTTTAAATTTTCTTATTAAACCAAGTAAAAGTACTAACTAGGTCATGAATTATTTCAAGTTATTTGTAATCCTACAACCTAATCTTTCTAACTTTTGAAGCTATTGTATTTTAATGTTTCCGTTCTCCATATGACCTTGTAGAAACATTAAAACGAAAGATATTTCTAATTAGATCTGTGGAGCATCCATCATGCGAGCAGGAGAGACGATGGAACAAGCTTTGTGTGATGTTTTGAAGGATGTCCGACTAGGAAAAATTTTAATCCAGACTAACCTTGATACTGGAGAACCAGAGGTTGGTAGGATTTTGCTCTAGAATTGTTTATTGATTTCTTGAAGAAGTTTATCAAAAACCTTCTAAACAGAAGTATATATGTTCTGGTGAAGTTTTTATTTACAAAATTCTTTTAATGCTCTTTCATTTTGGGTACTGACCATCATTCTGTATTCAGTCTGATGCTTGGCCAACTTAGAAAAGGTGATCACACCTTAATAACTGTCATTGTTGTAACAATAATGTTTTAACCACTACTGTGTTTATTGTGTCCCAACCAGCCTGATGAGCTATGTCTCGAGTGAAATGCATCGTCAACAGTAGACATGGCAGAAATATTATTATGCACTCTTCTTCTTGAAAAATCCAAAGGGAACTGAGTAAAGAACATAGTGTCAGAAAATAAAATAGGCTTAATAATGTTTTCACATTGTAATAAGAACTATGTATATTTTATCATTCCTAACTGTGGTGTATAGAGCTAAGTGAAGTTTGTAGTATAGTCATTGAAAACCTTGTACCAAAATCACAGAATACTTTCACATATGCTTGTACATCCTTATAGCTCGCATATCAGTGGATATTAATCCTAAAAATAACGTGAAGGGTAAATATTTAGCCAAAGATGGACAGCGTTGGAAATTTCTGTACATCTACTACTACTTAACATGTGTTGAGTTGAAGGTATCGTTACAACGTATGTTGAGTTGTACTTGTGCTGAGTTGAAGGTATCATTACAACGTATGTTGAGTTGTACTTGTGCTGAGTTGAAGGTTTGTTGTATTTGTGCTGAGTTGAAGGTTTCGTTACAAGGTATAGTTGTATTTGTGTTGAGTTGAAGGTTTGTTACAAGGTATGTTGAGTTGTACTTGTGCTGAGTTGAAGGTTTGTTGTATTTGTGCTGAGTTGAAGGTTTCGTTACAAGGTATAGTTGTACTTATGCTGAGTTGAAGGTATCGTTACAAGGTATGTTGAGTTGTACTTGTGCTGAGTTGAAGGTATCGTTACAAGGTATGTTAGTTGTACTTGTGCTGAGTTGAAGGTATCGTTACAAGGTATGTTGAGTTGTACTTGTGCTGAGTTGAAGGTATCATTACAACGTATGTTGTTGTACTTGTGCTGAGTTGAAGGTTTGTTGTATTTGTGCTGAGTTGAAGGTTTCGTTACAAGGTATCGTTGTACTTGTGCTGAGTTGAAGGTTTGTTACAAGGTATGTTGAATTGTACTTTTGACAACATTTAATTCTTTTTATAGCTCTACTACTTACGTTTGCCCAAGGACATAAAGGACTACCAAATTATTTTAATGGATGCAACAGTTGCCAGTGGTGCTGCTGCTATGATGGCTATTCGAGTGTTGCTTGACCACGATGTTCCAGAAGATAACATTCTTTTTTGTTCATTGTTAGCTGCAGAATCAGGTAATTTGGTTGATTATAAACAGACCAGATTTTACATTTGTACTTTATTTTTTAAATTGTACTTATTTTATGATGCTATTATTTTTCTCAAGTTAAGAATGTAGGATAATTAATCCCTCTTTGCCAGTTGTCTGGTGAGTTCTAGAAGCAAAAAAAACATTTCTTTCATACCTCTAAGAAAGGATTTAGTAAAAAAAATAATTTTACAAATGGATATGTTTTGTGGAAATAACATACAACCATTGGCTGTGTTTTCAAGGTGTTCATACCATTGCCTATGCATTTCCAAAAGTTCATATTGTGACAACAGCAGTTGACCCAGAAGTGAATGAGAAATTTTACATTCTTCCAGGAATTGGTGAGTAACTAGAGACATCTGGTATGTGTGTAATTAAAAAAAAAACAAATGCAAATTGATTATTTATTATCATTCATGTTCTTTTAATTCTAAACATTCTTTCTAACTCCATTCATATTTTGTTGATGCATAAGTTCTGTCACAAGTCAAACTAGAAATTATTTTTGTAAGAATTCTCTAGCTGCCTTACTGTGAACTTCATGAGAATAGTTTCCACTATATTAACATAAAACAGTCACTAGTCTGTGTAGAAATATTCAGATTTACCAAGATTTATTTGTGATTATAGTTCTGGATACTTACTAACTGCACCTGTTATTTCTGGTATCTTTAGGAAATTTTGGTGATCGATACTTTGGAACTGAAGCTTCACAATATTGAGATATGTCAAATAACCGTTCTGACGTCTTTTAGCCAGAGAGAAGACAGCTAGTCATAGTGAGATCATCTAGAATGGAGTTTGTTGTCTAAAAATCCACTATCTGGAGTAGTTTGCCTTTGTTTTTGTGTTATTGTTGAGGCACATAATGTACATTACACAGGTTGCATGTGTGTTAATACAGTATTACTATCCTCTGTACTCAAGAATAGAATTAGTTTTATGTGATACATTTTAAAGTGTTCAGTCAGATCTCAGATGTTTTCATCCACGATACTTATCACGTATTTAAATGTTTGCCATATGTTTCCACATAAAGTTTAAGATTAGTAATGGCATGGTTCTCATCCACCTAGACATTAGTATGCTTTGACAGCATCTTGGCAAGTTTATAAGATGGGTATGAGGTGAATGAAGGCATATTTTATCAAGTGGTGATAGTAGTGCCTTTGCATTGTTTACAGTTAACCTCCAAAAGTACCAGTTCAATCATCCCTCCAAAGATGTTTTTTACTGAAAGTTACAGTCTTGGCTTGTTTTATAACTGGAATTTTCAAGACTTCTTGTCATGATTTAAAGTATAAACTCCACTTGTGTTTATTTTACACAATCTAGAGCTTTAAGGCATTCATGAGGTGTCCCAACTCTTACTAGACAAATATTCCATTAAGTGTTTGTGAACATACAGTTTTCACATTTTACTTATTTAGAAAATTACTTTTTTATGGTAATTCCAAATCATGATGATAAGGTTTTGAACAAATTACTACCTCCCATCACTGAACTTGTTTTATAAACAGAAGTACACAGTTCCTGTATTTTTAAATGCAATATATATGTTTGAAATAACAAAGAAAATTCCCACACTTTATATTTTTATGAAACTTTTGAAGGATGTTTGTATAAATTACACATTGAAAATCTAATGTTGTTAATTTTATGTTACTGCTTAGTGGCCCTAATGAAATCTAAACCGTCCGCTTTCAACTGCTATTTGCTATATTACGTTACACTGATTACGTGGTTTCACTATAGTACACTACAACAGAAACTATCAGTTCAATTTATATAGTGAACATTGGACTCTTGCTTACACCAGAAATTAACTCATGGTTCTAACCTGTAATTCTTAACTTTTGTCAGGAGGTGAGTCTGACAAAATGTGAATTGTTATAAGGATTGGGTGTTTTTACATTAACTGCAGAAGTGATTCTTTAATACTTGTTTTTATTTTATATTTTGTTCTACACTATTTACTGTCCATTTGAAAAAAAGATGTAATTTCTATAGAACTGAAAGTGTTATTTACATTTTTATGTAAACCAAGACAAATAATAAACAATGATTTAGATTTAGGAAAATATTTTAAACGCAGCATTTTTTTAGTTGGAATCGGAATAAGCCATGTTTCAGTAAAAAAACTGCATTTGTTGTTATTTTCCTTTGGTTATTTTGGTATTCAAAAAGTACCATACGTTCAGTTATAGTATGTTTTCTACATCTGTAAACCTACAATAAAACAGTCACCACTAACTTTAAATTAAAAGTTGAACTTGTGACATCAGACTATCTCTTCAACTTGGCATTGATACCAAATATGAAAAACGTTAGTTCTGGATCTAATTAGAACATTTTACCAATGGGTACTCCTGCAACAAACAACTCAATGTGAATGTCACATAATTCCCCATTCACGTTAATTTAGTTATTTATTACTGCAAAGACAAGTGAATGAAATCTTAAACTTTGCAACCTTTCCTGTTAGTTTCTACAGCTTTTAAAGATTCTGAATTTTCAACAAAATATGACACCGAAGCATGAATGTGTACATAGTTTACAATGTTCTCATGACAAACAAATCAAAACTGTTCTCGGTTGTAGATATGATTTCCTCTCAGCCTCATTGTGCTACTGTATATTAATATTTTAAAAAAACTGTTTTTTGGCATAATGAAAGATAAACTGTATCAATAACACAATTACCAAGTGGCATACATTACTTTTTAAAGAAACCCTACCATTCTCCAGCACATTATCAGTTATACTTATTCTGGGGTCAAACTATTCTAAGTATTTAATAAAATGATCATATTGCATTCTGAATTTATCATACGCATACTTAAATTTTATGTAATGAACTTCTATGTCCTATTGTACACAGATGTAAACCACTACAAACACAAGCCTTATCTTTTAGGATTCATGCAAACTTAAAGGCCTTTCCTAAACCTTCATGAAAAATTTAAAGGACCTACTTTTACAATATTTACAAGATAATATGAAATCCATAACTATGTGCTCATATAACTTTTTATTTCTTTGTCTTTTAAAGATATCATGTTCAGGTAATAGACCTAGGATATCTTTACATTGAATTAGTTAGATATGTAGTGTATTTTTACTGACTTTCATTTTAAAAATACACACAAACTTAAAGACTTTCAAACACCCGTACAAACCCTGCTTCCTGTTCTAACAATGTTACAGTTTTAGTTGCAAGCATGGAAAGGAATAGGAGAATCTGCTCAACCTTCTTGTCTATAAGTAATAAAACCTACAATAATTAAGAAAGAACTAACAACTTGATCTTCCTTAAAGATCAGAGTTCTCCGTCTTAAGGTTACCTACAACTTAAAATAAGCTAACTAATCTCTGGTTCAGATACTTACTGATAACTCTGTGCTGTAAATAATTTTTAGCTATTAAATCCTGTTGAAATTTTCATTAGAATAGTAAGTTAAAATACCTATACTCACCCTCATAAGCTTGGTTTTACATTTACACTAAATCCCACCTCATTGTATGGATTATTATTTTAAAGTACATTTTTTGACTTCATGTTTATAAATACATCTTTCAGAACTAATAGTACATTAGATAAACTACGAATCCCACTCTTCCCTCTTGGACTAGGACTCAGTATTTATACATGCATCTTTCAGAACTAATAGTACATTAGATAAACTATGAATCCCAGTCTTCCCTCTTGGACTAGGACTCAGTATTTATACATGCATCTTTCAGAACTAATAGTACATTAGATAAACTATGAATCCCAGTCTTCCTTCTTGGACTAGGACTCAGTGTTTATACATGCATCTTTCAGAAGTAATAGTACATTAGATAAACTATGAATCCCAGTCTTCCCTCTTGGACTAGGATTTAGTATTTATACATGCATCTTTCAGAACTAATAGTACATTAGATAAACTATGAATCCCAGTCTTCCTTCTTGGACTAGGGTCATCAGAAAAAAATAATTTTACATGCTTTTTAAATAACCAAGATGTCTGGATACTAACTAAAAATTGTATAATATTTTAGCAACAACTAGAAAACAGGAATACAAATTGATAATGAACTGTGAAGTTCATAAATTAATAGCCCTGATACAGTACAGTGTTGGTGATAATGAACTGTGAAGTTCATAAATTAATAGCCCTTTTACAGTATAACGTCAGTAAGGTAAAGGATGATTTTGTAGTATTTCACTTGATTATTGGACAATATTTCTTCATGAATACAATTATAAAACAATGTTTTATATTTAGTACCAGATTGGTGGAAAACGTTTTTAACTAATAATGGAATCTTCATCAGAATTAGAATGAAAAAATATGCATGTAATTTTTAAGTAGTCATTACATAAAGTGGGCTAGTGTTTGCAGTTTCTCTAATATCTTCAATAAATACTGATGTTTTCCACCAGAATTTAACTATTACATAACTTTGGAATTCAGGTTAACCTTTTTTTTTCAGCACTTTAAGTTATGTATGTTTAACAACTTTAGAACTAAGGGCCATAAATTGCAATAGTTTGTTTTTTATTAGAGCTACTGAAAATACAAAAACATTTAACATTAAATACTTTAGGAATTTAGTCCTTTTTCAATCATAATACAGCATCCTATGTTAATTTAGGTTTGGGAATAATATTATGGCATTTTGCTTCTAATTTATTATTTGATATTATACAGCAAGTGAAAGAATGAGGCATTGCTAGGCACTGGCACACAGGGCCCGTGCCTTGATTCTATTTCAAGTGTCATGAGCCCCCAGATGCTGTCTTGAAAAATCAGAATAGAGAACTATGATAGGTATAATACTGAAAATTCCCATGCCTATGGGCCCGAGCCTGATTCTTTTAAGCACCTAATGACGCAACTGCCATTAGGCCTCTATGTCACAGATTCTATTTCTCAGTTTTACGTTTGGTGAAAATAAAATAAACATGTAATATAATCATTAAACAGTTGGTTCTCGTATTATAATATTATTCACACATGTAAATTAATTTAGGTTACTATATGGTAAGTTAAAATGAAATCAGAATCGCCATAAAACTTATATACTCATCATCATTACAAAAGGACTAACTGTATATCATCGGCTTGTTGAACCAAGCTGTGCTGATGGGCCTTAAAAAGGTGAAACTTGAGATGGTGCAGCAAATAAAAGAATGCATTAGGCCCCTACATCACAAATTCTACATTTGGTGAGAATAAAATAAATCAGTTAACATCAAAACACGACCACAGTCTACCTTAAGATAAAACCAAATGACCAGACTCAACATTTTTCATAGTTAACTGCACCATTTCAAGAAGCTATTTTTACTTTAAATATTTTATTGGACATGTTACATATACATACAATAACACCAGTATAACTGTAAACAAAAAGTTCTTGTAGTCACAGAATAGGTTATATCTACAAATATGGTCTGTATATCGATTTCTTGACAAAATCAAATATTCAACTATACTTTTCAAGTACTGACCTCAATGCAGCTTTATACTTTTATACCATCATTTTGTCCACTCGTCCTTATCGTTCACAAGAAGAAATTTAAGAAATTCAACCTGCATATACTCCATTCCTTGCTGTTAAGAGAAAATTCCACTTGGCTTTGATTTAAGGAATATTCAAGGCACATTGTTATGGGAAGTTGACTTTGAAGAAAATCTTAACTGTCTAGGATATTAAACCAACACTAACTGGAATTCTACCATTCATACTCAAAAATCTTCTCAGAGAACTGTCTGACTTTGTAATGTAGAGAATGTCTTCTGAATACGATAATGGTTCATACATACACATTTTTCTCAAAATTTCTTGATATTAATAAGTTATACTGATCAGTTTATTTTTACAGACACTTCACTACATTTATAAAAGACAATTTCTAACCTTTGTAAAATACATTTTATGCAAGTAGTTTCAAGGTAATCTCTATGTAACTTCATCAACTAAACTAAATTGGCCAATTCTGCTATAGGTTTATGGATAACTTCCTTCTTACAGGCACAATACTCCAGTGTATTTAAATGTGGACAACATAAAGTTTGTATATCTAATGTAAATGTATAAAAATTCTTGGTCTATTTAACAGTTAAGTCTACAATTTAGGACTTGTATTCAAATCCAGACTATATTTAATTATAAATGATCAAAGTCAATAAAACAAATTACGATTTACTTTTATTAATTAACAATTCATAAAAAACATATAATGCATTTTTGGGATTCTATGCAAATAAAGAGACAGTAAAACTGATTTACTTTATAGCAGTAGTTATAAACACACACATTAGGCTTAGCGTACTCTAAACCTGACACCTACTTGTAGTCATTTTGTTTTACATACGACAGAATTCTAATTGCTCAGACATTCAACACATAGCTAGTATGAAGATGTTCACAAATTTAATTTTCTTGTCATTGTTACGCAATGTTTATTTTATATGAATGCCACTGATATTCTGGGTTTGGCAACATGCAGGATATTACTTATACAACCAGTAAAACATAACATAAGTTTCTAGCTTAATCCAATGATGTCTCTAATTGCATAATCTTGAGCATCTTAATTCTTCTAAACAAGGTGAAAACCACTAAGCATAGGCCCCCATTTACTTTGGCAGATACTCTGTATTTCCTAGTGATTTATATAATAAATTTTGATCAATTACAGTGAAGTCTTGACACTAACAATCAATAGCGAGCAGAACCTATAAACATGAAAAGCTGGATTACAGAAAATTTAAGTGGTTTTAACAGTATTTGTTGGAAGAAAACTATGATAAACATTTAACAACAAAAATGGAAGCAACAAATCCCTTCAGATAATAAAATAATGTTGTACGAACTACCGGTCAATGATGTAACAATACACAATATACCAGCATGTTTATCATTGTCATAGAGCCATACATTCTGGAGTGGAAATAGTTTGTTCAAAATAATTTAGAGGTTTTGTTGAAGGAAAATAATAAATAATTATTTCAATGATACAAGTAAGTGGTATTTGTAATAATGTAAACTTTAAAAAGTATGACAATGCCTTTAGTTACATGTAAACAG